CCCGCGGTGCAGGCCATCGCCAGTTTGCTCCAGCGCGCGAAGCAGGCCCAGCAGAACGGCGTCTCGCTCACCAAGCCCTTGAAGAATGCCTACAAGGACGCCTACGACCAGAGAGCTTACGCGAAGACGTGCATCATGGTCGACTGGACGTTGGACAACATACTGAATGACCGCAGGACGGCGCCGTCTGAGTTGAAAGCACAAGCTTTGCAGATCGAGACGGTGATCCAGAGGACGGCGGCGACTCTTCCCGAGTACTTACTCAACCTCTTGAAGCAGATGAAGGGGGAGCCTGCCGGTGCTCCCGCGGCCGCCGAGCCCGCGGAGGCCGCCGCGGCCAAGGGTGCCCAGGCTGACGGGTCCGGGGATGCACCTCAGGCCGCTTGAGGCTTGAGATTTGTGCTGCTCACGCTGTTCTTCAGGCCGCTTGAGCGCTTGAGGCCGCTTGAGCGCTTGAGCGCTTGGCGCTTGAGGCTTGAGGCGTGTGCTGCTCACGCCTTAGGCTCGCACTCTGTATTTTGTGCTGCTCACGCAGGGTGCCGCTTGACGCTTGAGGCTTGTGCTGCTCGCGCTGTTCTTCAGGCCGCTCGAGTCTGCCAGGTCCAAGGCTCCGCGGCCCGAGGCAACTTCTCTGGCGGGCGGGTCCGAGGCTGTTCCTCGGGCTGTTCTTGGGGCAGCTCGCATCGCAGCTCGAGGCGTTTTGCTTTTTGCCTTTTGAGTCTGGCCGCCCTCAGGTCCCATGCCCCATGCCGGCGGCCGGCGACAGAGAGAGGGCGAGGGAGGTGCAGAGGCAGGGCAAGTGGCAAGTGGCAAGTAGGGGGTAAGGAGTAAGGATAACAGAAACAAAGAGAGAGAGAGAGAGAGAGAGAGAGAGAGAGAGAGAGATCACACAAACGACAACAACACACACACATTAAACATTAACGCATTGTCAAGTGACAAGTTCACGTGCGTATCTTGCGTTATTTCGCTGGGTCGCCATATACCATATAATATATAATATATCATATATAGCATATAGCATATAGCACGGTAAAGCACAGCTATAAGCTATACTTATAAGATATAACGCATAACAACATACAACCGAAGGCATAACACAAACAAACATAAAACCATAAAACCATACAACACACATGATAAATAGCAGTAGGTAGCGATGGTGACAAGAGGGGTGGAATGGCGATGCATCTATACACATATCACATATGACACATATGTACATATGTACGTACATGATATGATGTATAACCCATATACCATATATCCATATATCCATATATCATATATCATATGTCATACAGAATATAGAGTTTTCGACAAGAGTCAGGAGTGGGGGATATGATCTGCTGGATTCAGAACATGGGATATGGGATATGGTGATCTGGTACATGGGGCGAGATTGCGGGGACGTGAATGGGAGGATCTGGAGGGAAGAAGGATCGTATTGTTGCTGTTGCTGTGGCCACCGGCGTGCTTTCCGACACCTGCGCCAATGGGCGCGCGAGAGCGGGGCATCGAAGCTAGGGGCTGGCTTTTATGTCGGGGTTACGCCGCTTTCTCGCGTGGCGCCCGGAGTTCGCAATACCTCGGATACATCGCGCGCCGACTTCGGATGAACAGACAACAACAATTGAGTACAAAGGACAAAGGGCCCTTGGCCCTGGGCCCCTATCCTCAGATCTCGATGGCCCCCAGCCTGGCTCGGATGAAAGACATAAGCGAGCATCGCCCCCATGGTTCCATGGACCCATGGGCCCGCAGGCGGATCCGTCGGCGCCCAAGGGCGCCTGATAGTATGTGGCATGGGCATGGGGCGCGGGGTGGGAGTGACGAAAAGGAGCATGAGTAGAAGTGGCCCTGTAGATCTGGGGTTGTCTGGGGGCGAATAGGAGTAGCAGCGACACTTGCATTTGGCATTTGGCGTTCGAGAAGATAATCACCAAACGCGGCACCCCTTGCTCCTGGCTCGATCCTCGGCACCTTGCCCCGCGGAGCGGTGATCGCAGCCCATGCCCTGCTGGGCCCCTGCCTTGTCTTGCAGACGCCCCCGCCCGGAGGAGACCCCGCCGGCTGTCGGGCGGGGGCCTTCGACATTCAAGGCCTTCGGCCCCTGCCCATCCGCCAGAACCCAGTCTTGGGCATTAAGCCTGGGGCCTTTGGGTATTGGGTGTTTGGTGTTTGGGCGTCTTGGGCATTTGGGCATTTGGGATTTGGGGTCTTGGGTCTTCGGGTGTCGGGCGTCTTGGGGACTTGGGCCTTGGGTCTTGGGTCTTGGGCGTCATGAGGTCTTGGGCGTCTTGGGCGTCTTGGGCGTCCTAGGTGTTAGGTCCTAGGGTCTTAGGTCTTAGGTGTCTAGGGTCTTTGGTCTTTGGGGGTCTTGGCGTGTTGGGGTCGTGGGTCGTGGGTCTGGGGCATCTTTGGTATTTGGGTCTTGGGTCTTGGGCGCATTGGGTCTTGGGTCTTGGGGTCGTGGGTTTCTGGGCCTCGTGGGCCTTGGGTGTCTTGGGTCTTGGGGTATTCGGGTCATGGGCGCCTTGGGGGAGGGGGGGTGTCTTGGGTCTTGGGCGTCTTGGGCATGTATTGGGGTCTTTGGGTTTGGGTCGTCTCTCTCTCTCTCTCTCTCTCTCTCTCTCTCTCTCTCTCTTTCTCTTTCTCTTTCTCTTTCTCTTTCTCTCTCTCTCTCTCTCTGTCTCTCTCTCTCTCTCTCTCTCTCTATCTCTCTATCTCTCTCTTTCTCTCTCTCTCTCTCTCTCTCTCATCCTCCCTCCCCTCGACCTCCGATCCTCATCCTCGGGCACTCTTCCCAGTCCACCTCCGCGCAACCAAAGCTGGGACCATAGTATTGTGACGCTGCGTGACGCCAGCTACGAGGGCTAGTGGTTTTCAACATTGTTTCAACATGGAGTTTTTCGAATTGATCCTCTCTTTTTGTTCGCGCTCTGCGCGGCCGCCGCCTTCACGGTCGCTGTGGCGTTGGTTGAGGACCCCTGGAAGGATGACGACCCTCGGTAGCCTTGCGAGGCCCAGGTCTTGTTTGCGGGCGTCGTCTTCTTGAGGTACGGCGCCTGCGGCGTCTTCCGAGCCGTTGGCGCCGTTGCTGGTTGGCAGCAGCTTGGGTGGCCGCGCCTATATTGGCGGGCGGCACTGCAACGTTGCTGACCAGTCGCGCCACCGTTGTGCCCCGCTGCTGCTGCTTGCTGCTGGGCCTCCTCAGGCCCATTGACCATTGAGCCCTTGGGCCCTTGGGGTCCCGTCTTGGGTGCTCTGGCTTGTGGACCCTGTACAGTGCCCGCCCCGGTGCAAGGGCCGTTAGGCGTGCTAAAGTGCAAGCAAGTTTGGGTGGGAGGTCTTGGGTCTTGGGTGCTCTGGCCTGTGGACCCTGTACAGTACCCGCCCCGGTGCAAGGGCCGTTAGGCGTGCTAAAGGCTAAAGTGCAATCAAATTTTGGGTGGGAGGTCTTGGGATACGGGATACGTGTATACATACACATGTGACATGTGTGTATATATATATATATATATGATGGTATATGGTATATGGATACATGGCCAATGTGTACATATGTGGGTCGGTAGGTGTCTGATGCGATGAACAATTCTCAACGGTGAGCCATGATTTCGAATCGGCGCTCCCAGGGCCACCTGCTGCGTTGGCGCCATTTCGCGAGGTGCGCGCGCTGTGAGGGCTTCCTGTGGTCGACGTAGCCATGCCGCTCTTTCCCCGGGGGCCGTTGACTGGCAAATGCGCGCTGGGCCATCGTGGTTGACCTCAGAGTCGCTCGCGTCGGACGTCCTGTTGGCGTTCGGCTTGCGTTTGTTCATTGATTTTTGATGTCCGCGTGGCGCGGCGTTTGGAGGTCCCCGGGGCGCGCCAATACGATGAGTTTTCATGATTGAATTTTAAGCATTCCAGGTATTCTAGGGTATGAATTCCAGGCATTCCAGGTATTCTAGGTGTTCTAGGGAATTCAGCAATCTGGGCATTCTTGTCATTCTTGTCCGGCCTCCGCTTCATGGACGACTGGGACCGCACAGCACATGGCGGGACTTGGCTTGGCAAGTGAAGGGCGGGGGCGGTACGCTGGACCTGCGCTTGTGGGTGGTGTCAATTCGGCGGCAACACCTGCAACGACCAAATCACATCGGTCGAAGCGATCACGAAGGGCGCGGGCGCGCGCGGACGGCGCGCATTTCCTCCTTGGCCGCCTCGTCCGCGAGGCGGTTGCCGTCGCGGTCGACGGGCCTCGTGCCTCGGCGGAGGATCTGAGCCTCGATGGCATGGGCCTTGATTTTAGGTACACGCGACCCAGAGACATCCTAGTCTCCCCAAATCCGAGAGACGACTCCAGAACAAGACCCACAGACGACCCCTATGTCGCCTCGAGGTGCGTGGTCCCAGCCTCACCTCGCTCTAAGATCCCAGGGGCATCAAAGTCAGAGTCCAAGAGAATACGCAACGGTGGGTGTCCGAACCTGAGCACCGCAATAACAGCCATGAGCTCCGCACCGTCAATGTCAGGGGCAGGGTCGACGATAATTCAAGTTACAGGCTTTAACACGTCGCTCAGCTGAGCCTGGGGGTTCGCCAACAGAATTGGTGGGCCAACCCGCGACGGTTGAACAAGGTCTGTGAGCATCACAGGCCGAGCCATCTACGTAAATCTCCGAGGATCCCAAACCCGACGTGCCGCACAATGTTTTCTTGTTGGCCGCCAAACAGAGTGAACAGGGTCTGGTCACAGCAGGCGCTCGACGATCGCGCCGGACCTCGGGCACGTCCTCGCGTTGAGCCAGCGCAGAAGCAGCGGACGGCATCACGAGTGAGGGCCAGGAATCTTGACAAAGAAGATGACGGTGCCAACGCGTAACTGCCGTGACCGTGACACTTAAGACAGGCCGCTCCACAGTCTTTCTCTTCCTCCTCCTCCTCCTCCTCCTCCTTCTCCGCCCCCTCCTCCTCTTCCTCCTCCTCCTCCTCCTCCTCCTGCCGCGGCAGAGGCCGGCATCGACCCAGCAGCGGGCCCGGAGGAGGCCGGGCTGGACCCAGCAGCGGAGGCGGAGCTCAGGTCGCGAGCGGCGAACATATCCGTTTCCGCGCCCTCGCGGTCTGTATGCCGACGCGATATCCCGCGGATGCGCGGTCGTTCGGACGGATGCCTTCCGCTCGGGGCATCCGCGAAACCACGCCTCGTATCCGCCGGGTCGTGGGCCAGGAGCCCGGACCGCGAGGCCGCGGATAAGGTCGGGCGTTGCGTACTTAAGGGGGGATGATGACTTGGAGTGTGAAGAAATGTGCGCCTATCGTGCCCTAAGGGGCCCTCAAGGGCCCCCAAGGATTCCAAGAGGGACGCGAAAAGTGCACGTCTCTCCCCCCCCATCCCCAGAGATCTGATGTAATTGAGTTTGTCCATCTGGTTTGCATTTTCCACTGTGATCCGATGTGCTGAGTGTCGACCCGTTTCCCAGGACCGGTTTTTCAATTCTGAGTCGTTGTTCAACGGCCCGCAGGGCCTGGCGAGGGCCAGCGGCCGAAAGCGACGCAAGACTTCCGCATTTCATCGTTCAGCACCCCCCCATCAAGAAGCGCCCAGTAGGGATATGTCTTCCGCCCCCGAAGGGCGGCGTGGGCGGGGTGCGAGCTCCGCAACGGCAAGGTCCGGGCGGCCACGGGGCTTGCGTTCCGCCCCCTGGCGGACACGCTGCGGGGCGCGGCGGAGTCGCTCCTGGCGGTGGGGCGGGGGAGGGTCCGGCGTGGATTTCTTGGATATGTACCCCCTGGCGATGGCTCCGGCGCCGCCCCTGCGCAGATCCTAAAAATCCACGCGGACCGTCAAATGTTTATATGTGTATGTCTTGTTTGGTGCCTCTATGTTCGAGCCCGCCCGCCCGCCCCCCCTCCCCCACGGATAACCTGACCTGACCTTGTCGGTTGCGCATGTTCAAGGTACATCCAGATCGATACATTCAGCATTGCAATTGCCTGCCGCCCAATCAGGCGTCTTAAAACCGTTGCCATGCTTCACCTTTCTGTATCCCTTTCCGGGTTTGTGGGTCGATCATGTTGTTCCGCTAGAGTAGGGACCACCGCAACCGAGAATCCGTTCGTCTCGAGGGCGTCCAGGAGGTTTTTGAACATGTCCGGGAGTTTTGTTCTCGCCTCGGGGTGTTCTTCAGCAGCTGCGCCTCGTCGAGAGCGTTCTGGGGTTGCCCGGATCGTCCCGAACGGCTGCCAGAGACCCGAGTTATCACCCGAAAGCCAAGGGGTGGTGGATATCATGGCTGGGGCAACGAAGTCTGCCTGGATGTCATGCTCCCCTCTTCTTCAATGCGTGCCCGGGCTGCCCTGGTCCCCCTCCCCTCGTCCGCGCCCATTGGACGCCCCGATATCGCGAGGGGCCGACCCCTGGGCGGCGGCACGCCCGAGCGTCACCCAGTACAGCACGACGCGCAGGCGTGCCACCGCCCAGAGGTCGGCGGTCGGCGGCACCAAGTGGGTTCTCGATGGCGGTGGTCGCTGTTTCTCCTCTGAGGTGAGCGCGTGCGGAGATGTGCGCGGCCCGGCGGTTGGCGCGGCCGCAAAACAGTTCAGGGCAGGATGCTTCGACCCCAATCGCCCACTCATCGCAAATAAGGGCCTGATGGAGCCCACCCCGCCCAGGAACGTGCGGCTTCGCTATCGGGTGTCTATCGCCGATCTATTGGCGATGTATCGCCGATTCCATGTCGGTGCCTCCCCGCCTGAGCAAGTCCCCCTCCCCAGATCGCTCGTCTTCAGACGGGGATCAGGAGACCGCATGAAGGCCGCGAGGGGGCCGAGGAGCGCACGATGGCAGGCCGACAATTGTCTCGAGGCGGCTTGACTAGCACCTCGGGACTGCCGCCTCCATCTGAGGGTCGTCCGAGGGGCCTCCTGAATGCATACGAGGATCTTGGGGTGCCTCTTGGAGGTGTCTTGGAGGGCTCTTGGGGGCCTCCTGGAGGCCTCGTTGGGGGCCTCCTGTCGACAGTTGTTTTAAGGGCCTGGCGATCACCGGGATTATCGGGCCCCTTCCCCAACCCCCCCAGGATATTCGACCTTGTCCGTTGCGCAGGTTCAAAGGGGGTACGCAGTATTGGCGCGCACGGGCACACGGGTACTGGGTACGTGGGGTTGCGCATTGCGCAGAGAGAAGGTCATTGACCAGCTAGAATGAACACCGATCTCTTGCGGGCTTCGTTCTTTTTCGCCGATCCAATTCGATGCCGAGAAGGAGACAGTATCGTTTGCGGCGGCGGCGGCCCCGACGCGTCGGGGAGGAGGTTCGTGGCCCGGCGGCTGGCGCAGCGGGGAAACGGGATCCGCTTCCATCCGATGATCGATGCCAGTTGAGCGGCGCAGAATAGCAGGTTCGACTGTGCCGACCTTCGCGTGTCGGCTGCCCGCGTAGGCCACCGCTTGGGGTCGCTATGCCATCTCGCGTAAGACCCGTCTCTTTTCGTCTCTCAGTTCTGGCCAGTTTGATACCGGTCCGATTCCGATAAACCTCGCAAGAGGAAAAGAGATGAATACCGGTGCAGCTGACTACCTTGTCCTCGTCGCCACGGCTAGATTCGCCTCAAACATTCTGGTCAGAACGCACTTCCGGAGAGGTCAAGAGATTTTAGGAGTATCGGTGCCATCTTTGTCCCTCCAATATCCCGGCTATCCGATGGCTTGGATCGCATTCTGGCCAGCAGGCCACGCTGCACCTTCGTCCACCTCTCCCCACCGGAAGCTCCTCCCCTTGTCATCCTACCTCTCATGACTCATCATCTATTTGTGCTTCTCCCTCCCTCCCTCCATCTCTCCTACCCTTGCGCCTTGCGCTGTGTAAGAGTTGTTCTGCACCCACCTCGGCTCTGGGGGATGCGAGGCCGCGGGCCGCCGCCATGCAGTCTGCCCTCCCCATCCCCTCCCATCCTCTCTCCTCCTTCTCTCCCTCTCTTCTCCCTCCGCTTCCCCTCCCTATACCAAACAGTCACGACGGTACCAGCATCTCGATACCAATGGCGTTACATGGCTGAACAACGAATGGTGGCATTTACAGGACGTTTGTTTTTTTCCGCACCTCTGGATAGCACCAGCCCAAGTTCCCCGACGTCTACGAAGGGCACTCCCCCTGCGGGCCTAGTTTGCAGCGACGACGACGACGACGACCGCGGCGACTGCGCACACGACGGCAACGTAGCCGGCGACCGCGACGGCGACGGCTTGGCGACGGCCTGGCGACGGCGCCGCTGGCGACGGCAACGTGCGGGTAGGGCGGCGACCGCGCCGCCAGCGTCTTGGAGCTTCGGGCGCCCTCCCGCAGACCCGAGGCGCAGTGGAGATGGATAAAATTTGGCCTCCAGAGGCCAGACTGCCGTCCATATGCACTGCGCCTCGGCCTTCTGGCGCCCCCTCCCAGCAAGTAGACGCAGTGGATAGGGATACAATATCGTGCCCGAATGCGGCTAGCCTCGGCTTCCCTCAGGGACGCCCTACAGTGCATGGAAGATCTTGCCAAGGGCTGGAAACAGTAAACAGTAAACAGAAACAGTAAGCAGCAAACAGTAAGCAGTTAGCAGTAACCGGTAAACAGAAACAACACAAACCCATTAATTCTCGGTTTTCCGGCGGCGCCTGCGGCCATCGGCGGTTGCGGGCGGCAGTGGCAGCCCTCCTCGCGCGCGGCCAGCCGCTCTGCCCGCGAGCGCGGCCCGCCCGCCCTGCTCGGCGGGGGCGGGCGGCGCGGCCCGCAGGCCGGCTGCGCCGCCGGTGCCGAAGTCGCGCCCGGCGCGCCCTCGCCCGCAGCCCGTGCGCGCGCGCTGTTCGCCGTTCTTTCGAATTTGCGTGTGTACCACACCCTCCTCGCCCCAGTCAGATTTCAGCGCCAGGGGCCATGCATAGCATACAAGAATCCCCCAGGGATGGAGTTTTCTATCACGAACCCACGACCAGGGCACTCGCCCACCCCAGAGGTTTCTCGGGTATAGTATGTGATTTCTTCGTGTGAAGCCGTGAGGGGAACGCTCTTCGCATCGGAGTTCTCGGCCACGCACAGAAGGGGGTAGGGGGAGGGGCCGGGGAAGGCTTCTTAGAAGCACCCCTCCCTCTTAGAAGGCGCGGGCCTTGTCTATAGATGTAGGGCTGGCGCCTTCCAAGAAGCGGCCTCCTTCTAAAAAGCCTTCCCCCCTCCCCCTACCACCTTGTGCGTGCCGCCAAGAGTCAGCTGAGTTAGATAGTAAATCACGGAAGTTTTCGCTCATCTAGGATTTGAAGGTCTATCGGCGCATGGCGCCCAATAGCATCCCAGTAGCGCTCAATCGCATCAGATATCGCCAGACAGCGTTCTATAGCGCCCAGTATCGCCGAATAGCGCGTAAAAGCGCCGACTAGCAACCATTATCGCCAAAGAGCGCCATTTGAGGGAGATGCATCATGTTCGCTTTGCGCTCGATGGGGCGCGCCAATGGGCACGACCAACAGCTTCCGTGAGTTGCTTCGGCTTGAAGAAGGGAGGGCGAGGTTCGAGGCTTTGGATTCGATGATGTTTTTATACTAGTTTGTGTCCGGGGGCCGTTTTTGGGCCCCAGTACTTTCAAAACTTCATCCGAGGTGACAAGCTGCACCTCATGGACCCCAGGATTGGTCCTGGGACCGATTTTGAGTGGATTTGCCCTTGCCCCATTCCTTGGATTTCCCTTGTTCGGGGCAGTGGTTGTCTCAGGAAATAGATTTCTCATTGTTTTCCAAGGGTATTTCATTTCGGGATGCGTTGCCCGGGACCGTGTTGCTCGTAGGAATACGGATTCTTTAATTTGCCCTTCGCTTACTCTGACCCTCAGAAGCAGGCGAATGAGACCAGGTCATGATGCTTTTCCCAGTTGTTGTTCTGATATGATCGGAATGGATACGGAAAGAGTGTTGACGAATATTGACATCAGTTCTCGTCCATTTTGGGTTGAGCAGAACTCGTTGTCGGTGCCGCCGCGGACGTTGTCCATTTCAGACAGAAGGCCTTCTGCACAACAGCGGCCGCTGTCGGTTCTACCAAGGACATGGGCATGGTACATGTTTTCCGTACCCATATCCTTCGTCAATTTGTTTTGCCTATGTGGATTTTCCATTGGCACCGGTAATCTTTGAAAACGACTCAAGCCGAAACGGTGGTCCTCAGGGAAGGCCCATTTCCCAGGATTCGATTCCCTCAGGGCTGGGCTTCTTCATGATGCAAGCCTTCATTGCGTCTTCCTGTGGACGAGTGAGGGCCGAGGACCGTTGACCGAGGTTCGAGGGCGCTTGTCTCAGGGGCAACGTCAGGGGGGTAGGCTCGGGGGGATGCCTCGACCCCTAATCGCCCATTTAGCTGACAGGGGTCCTAGAGCCCACCCCGCCCAGGAACGTGCGGTCTTGCTACATCAGGGGCCTATCGCCGTTCCATTGGCGATGCATCGTCGATCCCAGGTCGACTTTTCCATCTTTGAGCCGGTTCCCCATTAAGTTCCCCCTCATGATCGAGATTCGGGAACGTTTGTCCTTTTTTTCGGGTCGGGCGAAAGGGGAGGACAGGAGAAGGGGGGCGTACGAAATCTGCTGCATGCAGCTGGTTGCGGCCCCGTCGATGAGCGCCTTTCCTCAATACATTAGCGCCTGCCGATGCTGGGGGGCGCTGGAAAAGCTGGCCGGCTACGTTCACTGGTGCGCCCTACAAATTTCAGCCACGCGCAGGGGATGGTGACGGGAGGGAGGAAGCCTTCTCAGAAGCACCGCCACCTCTTTAGAAGGCGCGGGCGCCCCTATAAGAAGCTTGCGGTTGCTTCTTAGAAGTTGTTCTTGGCGTGTTGCTACGAAGCAGGTGGCTTGCTTCTAAGAAGCAGTTTTCTTCTAAAAGGTTGCTGGTGTGCTTCTACTAGGAAGCGACGCGCCCCTGGCTTCTTAGAAAGGTGGCCGGCGCCCTTGCCTTCTAAGAAGCCTTCCCCCCCTCCCTCTACCCCTTTGTGCGCGCCGCCAATAACATAATCAGCCATCCTTTAGTCCATTACGATTTTGTCAGGCCTCGCGGAATAACGGGGGTTCATCTCGGCATCCTTGTCAGAACGCTCCGCAGGGCAGGTCCAGGGGTCGCTCTGTGGAGGAGGAGGAGGAGGAGGAGGAGGAGGCCGGCACGATCAAGCCGAGGAGTTTACAAGATGTGATTGCGCAGTGGTTGTTTTGCTTGGCCTGGCTCTACAGCGTTCAGGGGACTGCCAGATTCGAACAACCGGCGGCTGCGGAACGTGGCTCAATTACACAAATGCATACATTCATGCACACCTGCCCGAGGATGGCTTTTCGTCCTCCATCTCCCCCCCCCACTTGCATATCGATCGAAGGTTTTAGGGGGCCTGAGTAAACGTGGCGGATAGAGCGTGGTGCTCAAAAAAATACATATCGATCGAAGGACTGTGTATTGCCCATCGCGGTAGTGTTGCTTCTGCTGCTGCTGTTGCCGTTTGGACTCGCCTCCAGTGCGCCTTGACTGTGACCTAGACATCATCC